ATGGATCAAAATGTACCAATAAGCAAGAAGCTATGGAATATCGTACGTTTTCTCTTGTACATGATTCGCAAAGGAGTCTGTAAGCACAAACTCATCGCCGACTTCAACGCAACTCTCAAACGTGGCAAGAACCTCATGTTCCACCACCGTCGTCGCGTTCCCGCCGCTTCAACCGCTTCTGACGCTGCTTCAACCGCTGTACCGCGGCAAGAATACGAGTTTAGCTGCAGCAACACTCCAAACTATTCATTCCCTATTCCCCATATGGCTTTCATGAAGAAAAAAAGTCACAATAGTATTTTCGCGTGTGGTCAAACGCCTCAAACGCTAGATGACGACTCAGCCGCAGCTAGAGCAGTTCTTGAGCTTCTCAACGGTGTGGGAGACAAAGGAAATGTTACGCCGTTAGAGTTGACGGCGGCTTTGTCTCCTTATTTTCCGGGGTTTGGACGGACTCCTTTGGTGAGGCCGTTACGAGTAACGGACTCACCGTTTCCGTTAACGCCGGAAAATGGTGATGTGGCAAACGGACACGTGGACCAAGCGGCTGATGATTTCATAAAGAGGTTTTATAAAAACTTGAATCAGCAGAAAAAAATGATTGAGTATAGCTAAAAATGAATCTCATCAGTGTGTGTTTTCTTCATATCTCTTCATCTTCCTTAAATATTTCTCTTTTTTTTTTTGCTTCTTTTTATTTGTCTCCTTTTGCTGATTATATTCCAAAGATGTAATGATATTTTTGGGGGATTTTTATTTTCGCATTTCTTGAAACAATTGGATATTATGAATAAAAAGATATCACGGTTTTTATTAGTTTAAATCTATATACATAACACTGCTATGTGGAAATTTGTATTGCCTAAACCAAAATTGATTCGAAGAAAATGAATCAAATCTCTGGATCCATAAACTTTCACAATGACACCAATTTTTTTTGCAATTAAACTAGTTATTTTCTTTTCCATGAATACCTTTTTTCCCCTCTACATCCAATGAATACTTAACAAGAGATCTCTAGCTTTTTAATTAACTCAAAAGTAGTAACTTTAAAAATAATCAACACTTCAGACAGAAAATTATAAGCAAATTTCGTATTAACTGTGACGACTGAATAACTTTATTTACTATATTTTCAACAAAAGATGATCGAATCCAATAATATTTTTGTAAAATTGTTCAGTGGCATACTATAATTGTTTTTGATAAGTGACAATCATCATAATTTTATGGTAAAAATAAAATTATTATCAATTCGTTGCGCAGAGATGATAACCTAATTTCTTGGCGTAAACTCTCTAAAACTTTGAACAATATATCTGCATGTGGACCACTTCAGGTTTAGGTCTGAATTTTGTCAACATGATGCTCTTGAATAGTGAAGGAGTTCGTTCATCCGTCAGATTAATTATGATCGACCTGAATTACCAACGTTAATAAAGAAGATATAATATAATTTTAAACTCGCTTTTGTATCTTTTTTGTTGTCTCAAATAAAGACATATATATTCTCCTGCAATATTCTCCGTATCGTCCTTTGATTAGGTATCTACCATTTCGTACGGTTTGAATCTCATTAGCGTCTTAACTAATTATTTGCATGGCATTTTTAATATTTGCATATTATTTGTTACATCTCCATATAGTATATTTTTTTGCTTAACAACATCTCCATATAATATTGTCTTTCTAATGTCACAATCTCAATTCTTATTAGTATCTTTTGTTTTTGAACTTCCTTATTATAGATTTATAGTCACTTAAAATCCTGAGTTTTATGTGAAGTCATTTTATGAATATGACGGTAGTTATATATGTGCAGTCTCACTTTCCAAAAACATTTACGCAATAGAAACATGATTAGAAAATTACATTGTCGTGATATGTTGAGATATACAACTTTGATGTAATAAAACACGAAACTTAAAGTGGACATTGCAAGCTGTTTGGCTCTTTCCCTAAAGCAAAAGAAACAAAAGTACTTTCTTTTCCAACTTTTTTCTCTTTAATTTTCTTTTACATAATTTAATATTTTCTATGTTATGTTCACAAGTTTGAATACATAGTCATAGCAATCATCCAATCACGTATCAAAACAACAACTCTACCACTACCATGAAAAGCTTATACATGGCAGAGTCAATAAAATCTTCTTTAGTAAGTCACTATTTTTCATCTTTTTAGATTCTAAAAATCAAGAACGAAGAGCAAGGTTCTTAACTATTCTTTCCTTAGTTGGGATATAAAAGTGATTAAGACAATTAAACAATTATGCATGTGTTGG